GCTGGACCTCTCCCCTGGTACCTCCCGTGGTCTTTTGGCTCCCTGCCATCAGGTAGCAGGGAAAGGAGAGTTCCTATGTCACTGGGACCCCTGCCCACGCCCCTTATCCCTCCCAGGAGGAAGACAATGTGTGGCACCCTGGACTACCTGCCCCCAGAGATGATTGAGGGGCGCACACACAACGAGAAGGTGGATCTATGGTGCATTGGAGTGCTTTGCTATGAGTTGCTGGTGGGAAACCCACCGTTTGAGAGTGCATCACACAACGAGACCTATCGGCGCATTGTCAAGGTGGGAGGGCGGCCTGGGCTTCGTGCCAGCTGCAGAGGCCAGGGGCTGGGGGGCTGGGGGTGGGCAGAGTGTATCCACGTGGCCCTAAGTAACTCCAGACAGAATGGGTAGTCAAGGAAGATGTAGCCAGGGTGAAAGTAATGCAGCCCTTCCATCTCTTCACACCTGCAGGTGGACCTAAAGTTCCCCGCTTCTGTGCCCACGGGAGCCCAGGACCTCATCTCTAAACTGCTCAGGCATAACCCCTCGGAACGGCTGCCCCTGGCCCAGGTCTCAGCCCACCCCTGGGTCCGGGCCAACTCTCGGAGGGTGCTGCCTCCCTCTGCCCTTCAATCTGTTGCCTGATGGTCCCTGTCATTCACTGGGGTGTGTCTGTGTTTTGTATGTTTGTGTATGTATAGGGGAAAGAAGGGATCCTGAACTGTTCCCTTATCTGTCTTCTACCTCCTCCTTTGTTTAATAAAGGCTGAAGCTTTTTGTACTGATGAGTGTAGATGTTTCTAGGTGGAGGCTTTGCTGTGGAGGAAGCTGTTCCCTAGAAGGAGAGGTGGCTCACCCTGAGGAGCTGGGATGAGCATTGCTTTGCTATCCCTGGTAACACCCTACCCTCTCAGCTCTGACACCCACCTGGTCAGCTCCCAGCCACCCCCACCCCTACCCCCACTTTCACCTCTACCCTGTCTGTTCTTTCCATTGCTCTGACTCCCAGAGCCCGGGGGCACTGGGGGCCCTGGCTCCCCATTGCTACATTGGAATACCAGCCATCTCTGGCCACCTTCTTTCACCTCTCTCTTGGTTGTCCAACTTCTAGTTTTTCCTTTTCTGTTTCATTCTCTGCCCCTTTGCCAGCGTAGGAGCAACTGAACAATTCTGTACCCTAGAAACTGTCTTTGATTCTTTTACCGCTCTGGTCAGGATCTAGTACAGGAGCCAATAGAAGCAGTAGTGATTCTGTCTTGTTCCTGACACAAGGTTTCACTGTCATGTATGATGCTTGCTGTAGGTTTTTGATAGATACCCTTTATCAGGTTAAATAGGGCCTATTTACTCCTAGTTTACTCAGTCTTTAAAAAAAAAAAAAAAAGAATACAAAAAAAAACACCCATTACCGGGGCGTGGTGGCGGGCGGCTTGCTAGTCCCAGCTTCTCGGGAGCTGAGGCAGGAGAGTGCGTGAACCCGGAGGCGACGGGAGCTTGTAGTGAGCGGAGATCGCGCCACTGCACTCCAGCCCGAGAAACAGACGCAATACTCCGTCTCAAAAAAAAAAAAAAAAAAAAAAAATTAGCGCCGGGCGCGGTGGCTCACGCCTGTAATCCCGACACTTTGGGAGGCCGAGGTGGGTGATCACGAGGTTCAGGGATCGAGACCATCCTGGCCAACATGGTGAAACCCCGTCTCTACCAAAAATACAAAACACATTAGCGGGGTGTGGTGGCGGGCGCCTGTAATCCCAACTACTCTGGAGCCCGTAGGCAGGAGAATCACTTGAACCCGGGAGCGCGAGGTTGCAGTGAGCCAAGATTGTACCACTGGCACTCCAACCTTGCAATAGAGCGAGACTCCGTCTCAAAAAAAAAAAAAAAAAAAAAAAGACCCCGTTTGGTTCTGCTCTTTCTCAGAGAAGAGGAAGAGATCATGAGTGTGAGAGCTCTGGGGAGCTTTGGTGTTTTGGAGTAGAAAAGTCGATCCTAAGGGCGCGTCGGTGCGTCAACAGCCTGTAATCCCATGCACTTTGGGAGGACGAGACGGGCGGATCATGAGTGTCAGGAGATCGAGGACCATCCTGGCTAACACTGGTGAAACCCCGTCTCTTACCTAAAAATGCAAAAAACCCAGCCGGCCGAGGTGCGGCGCCTGTTAGTCCCAGTCTACTGGGGTAGCATGGGAGGAGAATCGCGCAAACCCGGGGCGGAGCTGGCAGTGGCTGAGAATCCGGCCACCTGCACTCCAGCCAGCCATGGTGTACAGGCAGGAGCCCGTCTCAAAAAAATAAAAAAAAAAGAAAAGCCGATCTATTGGGGATGCTTTCTTCTAGTGTTTAGAGTAGGTAGTTAGACATGAGGGCAGGAAGAAGGGGCCTTCCCGTATGTTGGGCATTTGTCAAGTCATGGTCCAGCGTATAGAAATCTGTGCCCTC